TGTGTTGGATGTGTGGACTGCCTTGTCTGTGCTCCGCTGCTGCCTTGCTCTTCATCCTGCTTCGCCTTGTGCTTCACTGCGGTGTTATTGTCATTGGATCTGTATCTCTGGGCCTCAGCCCTCCTYCGTGTGACCTCGGCCTCAAGAGCCAAGCATCGTAACCACTACARCCAGGACATGGTGCTGTGATATCTGCCCCACCCCTGCAAGGCTATAGTGTCCAAACTCGACGCACACCAYACGCAACACCACACGGACGCTGACAATCCCACACACTTCGCTCCAAGTAGCACATGACCCCCATCGGTAGTATAGCCCGCTCACTCATGCGGGACTTCAACACGGGAGCTTTCCAATGTTATTGGATCTGTACCTCTGGGCCTCAACCCTCCTCCGTGCAAGCAGCGTTGCCTTGCTGCCTTGCTGCCCGTCCGCGGGCCTTGTCTTCCCATGCATCTTTGCTTGTGTGCCATGTGGAACGACTACTTTGGCAGTGTCGTCTTGCGCTTTGCTGTGTTGTTGCGATGCTGCCCGTCCGCTTGTGCTGTCGTTCCATGCGGTTAGCTTTGATGTTGTGCAGTTGGGTTACCCTGGCAGCTTTGCCAGGTGCTTTGCCGAGTCGCTGCCAGCTGCTATGTTCTGCTTGTGATGTTGCCTGCTGGCAGTCTGCTTCCAACAAGGGTCAAAAGGGTTCATGACCCGAAGCATCAAGATACTGATTCCGCAGATTGTCGAGTGTTCATCCTCCTGATGAGTCGGTGCAAGTCCGACGAAACAATCTCTCATGAGTCTCATCATCAGTTTTTGTTTTTTGCTTTTTTACCCCCCCAATGAGAACACCAATTTTCCAACATGCCATCCAGCGGCCTAGCTGCGTTGGTAAGGGTAGCAAGTATAGCTAAAAATAGCAAGTATAGCTAAAAATAGCTATGTATAGTAAGTATAGCTAAAAATAGCTGAGTTGGTAAGGGTAGCAAGTATAGCTAAAAATAGCTAAAACCAAATTTAGCGAATAACATGAACAGGCGAAATTCCTCGACAAATGGATATTTTCTTCATTATCAAAGGGGTGTTGCCTTGTGCTGCTTATTGCCTGTCTGTTTCTTTTCTAGTGTTTCTTGTCTTTTCCTTGCCTTTAGGCTCGACTCACTCAGATGCTCATTCTCCTCTTGAGCGGTTGTGATGGTATGGTGTGTAGTCTTTACCATGCTGGGGCTACCCAAATATGTCATTCACACACACACACACACACACACACACACACACACACACACACACACACACATGCACACGCCATCATCCACGTGGCCAGCCTTGTACGTGAGAGGCACAGTAAAAGGGGTGTGTAAAAAGAAATAACCTGGGAGGCCTCCCAACGATAAGAATGGTGAATATAGTCAAGAAAATGACATAATTCAATGATAATTGATCAATTGTCTATCATATTGCCAACTGTCTCATTGTTGGCTAAACCCCTCTCAAGTATGCTGCATTGCTTGCATAAAGGTCAGGTTCCTATGATGTTGGATCTACCGATGAAGGCATTGCTTGAATAAATGTAATGTTTCTATAGTGTAGTGCCTCATGTTGCTAACTATGGAGGCAACACTGTTTCAAATCCTTGCTGGATTGATTCATCTCAAGCACTGATTCCTTGCTGGATTAATTCATCTCAAGCACTGTTTCCTTGCTGGATTGATTCATTTCAAGCATGCTTCACCTTCTACAATAGAGGTAGAGTTGCTGCGATTTTGGATCTACTCATCTAGGTGGAACAGGGGATGTTGTGGTGAACATTCACAACACACACACACACACACACACACACACACACACACACACACACACACACACACACACACACACACACACGAAGGCATACTGGGGCTATTATAAGAGGGAGCTGGGACGACAAGGCCAGAGATAGAGAAGCCAGCAAAAAAGGGAGTAACCCAGGAAGATCGTCTGTGATAAGTAGTGAGCAGGACCCCGACTTACCTCATGCAGGCCTCTTGTACCATTTTTCTTCTTCAGAGGAATGCCTTCACCGCTCTTTCCGATTTTTTTTTTTGTGTTTCTCTTTCTTCTTTCTTTCTTTCTTTCTATATTTTCTTTTTTTTTAATTTTCTCATTTTTCTCATCCTTTGTGAGTTGACTGCGAAGAAATAAACCAGGATACAAAAGTGGCATTCGCTTTGATAGAGCCATGCACGTAGCATGATAGCATCTAACCCAAGCGCGGAATCGCTTTGATAGTGCCATGCACGTAGCATCTCACCCAGGCGCGGAATTTGAAACTGCGGAGCCCAAGGGCATCTGTCGCATCCGTCACCGGCATGAAAGCCTTCAAAAAGACCGTCGGTCGAATCCGAAATCTGGAACTGTACGGTAATGTGTGGTATTTTGTTCGTTTTTCCCTTTCGTTACGCCTTTGTCGTTTCGTACCTTTTCCATTTCTTGGAAGCTATAGTAAAAGTTGCGATTCCGGAGGGGAAAAAAAAGAAGCTATGGCTGTCTGCACCGGTTCAGTTTCAATTGAAGAGGCGGCGGGCGGCAATGGGACGCATGCGCGCGCCCGCCAATTTTATGAAATAAGCTGCTTAGCACTTGGTACGTTTTTTTTTTCTTCTCTTTTTCCACACAAAGAGCCCGGATTCCTATTACGAGGGGTACTCGTTACATATCCATGAGCACAAATTATTCAGAGGTATAAAAGGATGAGGAAGGTCTAACCAAGGGCATGCATTCGATTTCTGTTCGGCTACACCGCGCGCGGGGCTTGAGGTGACCTCCTGTTCGTCGGCGGCCGATTACTGAAGGAGACTACGGACATTTTCAATGAAGGATGAGCACTATGGACTTCTATGTGGACTTGGGCCAACTGGTAGACTTGGTGGATTCCGATGAACTGGTAGACTTCTACCAGTAATCGGCGGCCGATTACTGGTAGACTTGGTGGATTCCGCCACGACTCCTATTCCGCTAGATCCAGCTGCGCTGATCGCAACCTTCTGCGCTGTCTCCCATTCTGCCCTGCCCAGTTTCCCGGCATAGTGCTCAGTCGTGCACTTGTCTGGCTCTGCTCTGCCGAACAGAGCTCATTTGCTGTTTTTGCCTGCATCGGCACTCGTCTGCCTCGATATTGCTACTCTTCACTAGTCTTCACGCTTTCGGTAGGAGTCATCATTGCCAGGGCAGTGTTGCTTCTGCTGGCGCTCGTGATCTAAGCATGCAACGCGGCAAGATGATGGAGGCATAAGCAAGGCAGGTCAGCCATGGAGCCGTCTACATCCGCGCTTCTCACCTATCTATCCCTACTGGTGATCCTGGCGTTCCTCGTCTTTCTACTCTCTCTACCCAATGGAAGCGCCCAGATCTTCATCTGCAGCCCGCAGTTCCCCCTTTACTCTCCTTCACCAACATCCTCCCCGCTTAGATCTCCCCCTTCCCCCTCCCCCTCCCCCGCCTCCCTCACATGCTCCTGCATCCTTGTCGTCTCAAAGACTCTCCACACCTTCGCACAACAAAGGGAAGTGCCCCCTTCGATGACACCGCTTGTGGCAGGCGGCGGAAATGCCTCAGAGATGTGCCACCCCCTCCTGTGGATCTGCTGTTTGGTCTCTGTGCCATGCTAGGTGTAGGGACCTAGGTTCAGGGTGGTACTGGTTGTTTTTTTCCTCTTAAACCACCAGTGCACGGCCATACATCGACCGCGGGCTGCTCACCCCCTCCTAAACACAACGCTAGCCATGGACTAATTTTCTCAACGGCCCGCCGGCCCCGACTTTCTCGCAGTAGGTGACGAACAATTTCTCCACAAGGCTGGGGCCATGTACTGACAGCTTAAACCACCAGTACCTCGCTCGGCTATTGAATCCGAGCCTCCCAGCACGCTGCGCGCCAAGTCCTGCCGATCCGCCGTCGCAATTTTCTTTTTCGTTTTGCTTGCGGCCTCCAGACAATGCGGTCCGGCAGGCCGAAGCCCAAATGGCGCGGCGCGTATACGGGAAGCGCCGCGGCCGATAGCTGGGCCAGGTACTGGTGGTTAAGTCTTCTTCTTCGTCGTCTTGCTCTTCTTCTCCGTCTCCTTCCTCCCTTTATTTCTCCTTCCTCGCCTTGCTTTCCCCTTCTTTTGCACCACCACTCCGACTTCTTTTCAAGGAGGGATGTGTATCGACTGAGAAGAATTCATGGAAGACTTATCCTCTTTTGTGATGACTTTTTGCTAGATCCCCCTCTTATTTTTCCGAGTATCGCTATCTGTTTGTCACCTTTTTATGCACGAATGCCCTTATTGTTATAATGGGTATCTCTTTCA